TCGTCATCCTGGTTTGATCCCTTACAGAGACTATGCTAGAAGATTGTTAACTTTCTTCAACAAAGTGGAATTACATCATATCCCTAGAGATGAAAACCAAATGGTTGATGCTTTAGCTACTTTGTCCAGAAGATTGTCCAGAAGATGGTGGTAACTTATAAATATTGGCATGAAATGCTTCCGTTTGCTTTACATGGATACCGTACTTCAGTTCGAACTTCAACAGGCGCAACCCCATTTTCCCTAGTTTATGGTATGGAAGCAGTACTCCCCGTGGAGGTTGAGATTCCGTCTATGAGAGTGTTGATGGAAGCTAAACTTTCTGAGGCTGAATGGTGTCAAAGTAGATATGATCAGTTGAATTTAATTGAAGAAAAGAGATTGACAGCATTGTGTCACGGTCAATTATATCAGTAGAGAATGAAGAAGGCTTTTGATAAAAAGGTTTGACCACGCGAGTTCAGAGAAGGTGACCTTGTGCTCAAAAAGATATTATCTTTCCAACCTAATTCTAGGGGAAAGTGGGCTCCGAATTATGAAGGACCGTATGTCGTTAAGAAAGTTTTCTTTGGAGGTGCCTTGATTCTCACAAATATGGACGGTGAAGAGCTCCCGCGTTCCATGAACGCCGATGCAGTCAAGAAGTATTTCTCTTAGGTTTGAGTTGATAGTTTGCTAAGTTGAAAACCCGAAGGGGCGGCTTAGGCATGTTTTTGGTCAAACCAGTCTTGGTATTTGAGCACACTTTGGAATTCGAAGTTGTTAGGGAGAATAGTGATCATTGTTTTTGTGTAACTTTTTCTTTCATGTACTATTTCCCAAACTTTTGTAAACCGTTGGAGTTGCATTGTTAGCGAACCACCATCTTATTAATGAAATTTGAGCATTTACCTTTTGTGGGCAAAATTTTAATTTTATGGAAATATTTGAAACAAAATTATTTAAAATATTCTTATTTTAAAAATGTGTCGTGAATAATGAAAGGAATATTAACAGTTGTTCCGAGGATGGTCAAGCCATGAAATGCAAAACAGTACAGTAATTTATCCTTGCATGATGAACATGTTTTGTTTCAAAATCGTCACGAGGTGTTGGTTGTGTAAACTTGCGTTTCTCGTGGTACTAAGCTTGGTGACTCCCCAGTTTTTTCCAGTTAAGCGTTGTTTTGGTTATCTTTATTTGAGCGATTTCTGTAGTGTGGTACGCTTTGTCTCATGCCAGTGGTTTATTGGAGATTAGAAGATTGGGGTTTGAATACTCTTCTCCTCAGAAGACTTGAGCCTTGTAGCGTGGTACGCTCTGACGTTGCTTTGTGGTTCCAGTCCCAGTTATTTTTCGTCTTTTTTTTTAAGATTGGCCGAGTATCTATTATGTCGTGACATCTTATTGTCTTCAAATTATTCCATCTGTTTGTTTTGTCAGCATAACATTCATTTACTCATTTACACTTATATCAGCATGCATATTCACATTTGCCGTTGATTTTGAGTTGTATACTTTGTTTATTAAGACAATGTACATGTTCTTTCTGAGTAGAAGGTTAGCTTAGGCAGAAAATATGCTCCCTTTCTAAATTCCCCAACTGAGCTAATCCTCGTGGATGATTTTTTGATTTAGCCTACCTTGCCCATTTCTGGATAGGATGAATTCCCCAATCAAGTTACTTTCTCATTGGGTGGAGTCTTGTTTGACTGTTTTCTCTCTGGTTTATTCCTGGAGGGAGTTGTTGTCTCTTGCATAGGCTATCTCATGATTTTCCCCAGTGAAGTCGCTACCTAGACGAATGATGCATTTATTTTGCACATTTAAGTATGTGATCTTCTCGGGAAGGATTGATTCATGGTTCTCTTTGACGAAGATTTTATTCTCTGCCAGTGTCATCGCAATTTCCTTCTGAGTTATTCTTCGGAAAACGACAAGCGGCAGCTCTTCATGAGCAACTTGTACGTTATTATTCTTCGGAAAACGACAAGCGGCATTCTCTTCATGAGCAACTTGTACGTTATAGACATCGTTGGAAAACGACAAGCGGCGGTCTCTTCATGAGCAACTTGTGCGTTATTATTTTTGGAAAACGACAAGCGGCGGTCTCTTCATGAGCAACTTGTACGTTATTATTTTTGGAAAACGACAAGCGGCGGTCTCTTCATGAGCAACTTGTGCGTTATTATTTTTGGAAAACGACAAGCGGCGGTCTCTTCATGAGCAACTTGTGCGTTATTATTATTTTGGAAAACGACAAGCGGCGGTCTCTTCATGAGCAACTTGTGCGTTATTATTAGCTTTGGAAAACGGCAAGCGACGGTCTCTTCACGAGCAACTTGTACGTTATTATTATTTTGGAAAACGGCAAGCGGCGGTCTCTTCATGAGCAATTTGTACGTTATTATTATTTTGGAAAACGACAAGCGGCGGTCTCTTCATGAGCAACTTGTGCGTTATTATTAGCTTTGGAAAACGGCAAGCGGCGGTCTCTTCATGAGCAACTTGTACGTTATTATTATTTTGGAAAACGGCAAGCGGCGGTCTCTTCATGAGCAACTTGTACATTATTATTATTTTGGAAAACGGCAAGCGGCAGTCTCTTTATTTGAGCAACTTGTACGTTATTATTTTTCTGGAATACAGCAAGTGGCAGCTTCTTTATTTGAGTAGCTTGTATGTTATTGAAATCCCTGGACGACAGCAAGTGGCAGCTTCTTTATTTGAGCAGCTTGTATGTCATAGTATTTTTTGGAAGACAGCCAGTGGCGGCTTCTTTATTTGAGCAGCTTGTATGTTATTGACATCTTTGAACGACAGCAAGTGGAAGCTTCTTTATTTGAGCAGCTTGTGTATCTACAACCATATTATTATTTCAGCATTAATTAGTATATCTCCGGAAATCCCGCAGAGAGTTTTGTTATGAAACCTTTGCCTTCAGAAGTTGGTAGTCCATTATCAGCAAAATTGATACATCTTTTGTCTATCTTTGACCTTGAGTTGTGAACTCACTGTTGTTTTGGGTCAATAATCTGTTTTTGTGGCCTATGCAAGATGCCTTCTTTGGTAGGGTCAGAGGTCGTATTCTCTCAAATTTTTATTCGCCATCAAGAGTCTATCATTTGAAGTCGATGGCTCATTTCCCCAGTAGTGTATAATCTATGTTCCTGTGTTTTGTTGGTATTTGGTTTCTCCAGCATTGTTTCTGTCTCATACAGTATCATTCTCCATGAATTTAAATACTACATCCATATCATAAACATGATGGCGGTATCTTAGGGCAAAAATTGCGCATTATGTATTTAAGTACCTTCAATCTCGTCGAGACGAAGATTTTAATCTTCATATCTCCGAATAGAAGAAACTTAAATAGGGGCAGCTCTCATACCCCAATTTTGACCTAAGATATCACCTCCCATCTGCATCGTTACATTGCAAGTGTTCACAAGCGATTTGACCTATTTTTATCAATTTTTAAAGCAGATTTTAAAAATTCATAACTTCTTCAAATTTCGACATTTTTGAGAGGTTGTTTTTGCACATGATTTTCCTTGACATCATCTACAACTTTTCTTTATAAATCAAGGGAAAATTATGCATTAAAAAGCCATGAAAAATTGTTGACGTTAAAAGTTGTTTTGTGAATTTGGTGAAATTTGAGTTCGACGGTGTTTTATTCATGATTTCTTTTCCATTAAAATTGCAAAAGACGCACTTAACATGTGTTATTATTTTTATTTATTTATTTATAATTTTTTTATTTCTTTATTCAAAATATAAAAAAATATGGTCTTTTATTAATTCTATTTAAATTTATATGTTTGTATCACTTTATTTGAAAAAATCCAAAAAAATATGTGATTAGCGTCGTCTTTATTTTAGTTGTATTTTACATCCAGAAAATCTCAAAGAAAAAATATATAGTTAATACCATTTTCTTTTATTTACATTTTATTTCTTTAGTCATTATAATTTTAGTTCCTTTTTAATTTTGATTTAGTTCTAATATTAATTGAATTTCTTAAATTGAATTATTATTATTACTAAACACTTTTTTTTTGTGTCTCTTATTTTAATTTTTTGTACTTTTAGTTTAGTTGTCACTAACAATCTTCTCTTTTTTTGGTTAATTATTATTACTATTTTTCTTGTTGTTAATTTTGTTTTATCCAAAAAGAAAGAAAATATAAAGTTGGAGGAGGGTCACAGTTTACAACAACAATTTTATCTCATCTCTTGTCATTTTCATGCTGCACATCCAAACACAACTATCCAAAATTTGCTTCAACTCTTGCCAAATCTTCCTACAAACCTGCTACTGTCATACTGCAAAATCTGCACCATAATACATCCAAAAAAACCTGCATCATGTCAGTCCAAACCAGCCAAATATTACACCATTTTAGCAAGCACAAAACCTGTAACAAAAAAGCAATAAAGCAAATCACCAAAATTATCCAAGCTTATCAAAATCTCCCCCCGATTTCACTTATGTTTTGGCAATAAGACAGTAGAAAAAATACATACAAGGGGGAACAAAAAGGTTGATTTTGGAGACCTAAAAAAAATCATCCACCTTAGAGAATCAAAACAGCACACAGTATGCACATAGAATTGGTAGTTTAGCAAGCAGCTGCCACACCTCCAATCTTCCTGCAACATAACACTAACAACACAGGCAGAAATCTCATTACAAAAAATAGGAATCAGAGGAAGTGCCACCACTAGATATATGCGACAAGATAGTTGAGAGCTTGTATGAAAAATGCAAGAACCAACTTCTACTGCATTCAGAGCACATGACACCGGTATGAAGGTGGACTCTGGACAGACCGTCCAAAGCAGGATTTCTATAACAATGAAAGACATGTTACAATAGTCACAACTGCTGGTCCTCCTTGGGTGACGGGAACAGTTATAAACCCATTTTTTTTCAGTTGCATATTTATCACAAGGTAAGCCATTTACCCTCTTGCCATTTAACTTCCTTGTATGATTGTATGATTGTTTGTTTGAACCTTTGTTTTAATGCCTTCTTGCTAACATTCCTACGAACAAAAAAAAAACATTTTTTTTTAAACTCCATAACTAATTATAAACAAAACATAAAGAGGAAAATCTTGGCAAACTAAGAATTAACCTTGCGATTTGATAGCAAGAATCACAACCGCACACCTCTACATATACTTATTTCCGCTCGCACAATCTTCATCCCCAATCGGAACCGAACAAGATCCGGACGCAGATGCAGAGATTCTACCTTCAAATTCCTTGTTTTCGCAAACCGCACACACCCGTGAAGAAGACAGCTAATTTTGGTAACAACGCAACACCATCTCTCTGTCCGCCTCTCTACTGTTCCGAGTCCATCTCTTTGTTTTCATTTTCAATTTTTGAAATAAGGATTGTAAATCTGTTCTTGTTGGTGTGTTTGAGAAATAGAAAGGAGAAATGATGAATTTTTTTTTAAAGGAAAAAATGAATTTTGAGGAAGGAATAGATGAGTTACGGTTGAGAGAAAAGAGGAAGGTGATGTTGTTGAATACTGTGGGGGGAGAAAGGATCGATACAATTGCTTAGTTTTTGTTCCATTTTTTTTTATTTAATCTATTTTATTTGGAAAGGATATAATGACAATAATATTTAAGTCTGACTTTTTCCCTTTCCAATAAAGCCAGCTGCAGCCGCCGCCCCCCTTTGCCTCCCTAGGGTTTCTTGTTTCTCTTCTTTTTCCCTTGACCCGGTGGCCCATTGGGCCCATTTTTAGTCCATTCCAATTTCAATTTTCCTTTATGTTCTTATTAACTCATGCTATTAATGAATAGACAGTATTAGCTCAATTGGTAAAAGGTGTTACCAGTTATAACTTTTTGTTTTAGTTTTAGTTTAGTAAACTTTAGAATTTTATGTGTTGTAGTATTATTTTAGTAACTTTAGGATTTTATTTCATTTAGATTTGACTTAGTAAATTTTAGAATTTTATTTGTTTTACCTTTTGACTTAGTAAATTTTAGAATTTTATTTGTTTTAGTTTTGACTTAGTAAACTTTAGAATTTTATTTTGTTTTAGTTTTGACTTAGTAAACTTTAGAATTTTATTTTGTTTTAGTTTTATTTTAGTAACTTTAGGATTTTATTTCATTTAGATTTGACTTAGTAAATTTTAGGATTTTATTTCATTTAGATTTGACTTAGTAAACTTTAGAATTTTATTTGTTTTTATTTAAGTTAACTTTAGAATTTTAGTTGTTAGTTTTAGTTTAGGGACTTTAGAACTTTATTTGATTTAGATTTAGTTTAGTAATTTTGGAGCTTTTTTTGTTTTAGATTAGCAACCTTGGAATTTTTATTTAGTAGATCTAATTTTCTAATATTAAAATTTTAATTTAGTTTAGATCTAGCGTAGCAATTTTAGAATTATTTTTATAACTTTAGATAACAAATTAGTTTAGAATTATTTTAGTAAGTAATCTTATAATTTTGACTTAGATAATTAGTTCCCTTTTCTTCTATTTAAATATCTTTATCATTTTAATTTCTCGATGCTTTTGGTCATTAATCTGTTTCATTAGATTTGTTTTCTTGTGAATTTTTGAATGCTTATACTTTGTGGATTCATCTTATTTTACTTGCTCGATTTAATCCAAGGGAATTGTTTAATTTTTGTCGACTTCATGTCATCAAAAAATATTGTGCGAATACCCTCATTTCATTAAAAACTTAAGATAATTTTCCCAAATATTCAATTTTTTTAAAACTCACACCTTTTAAGTCAAAACTTCGACATTAGGTCGTCGTATCTTCAAAAAAACCGTCCAATACCCATCTTTGGCCAAATAATTTATTTTAATCAAACGAACATTTTAATAAACAGATATTTCAAAAGGTTCCTATAGAATACTATAGATACATTGGGTGCTAATACCTTCTCATTGTATAACCAACTCCCGAACTCTAGACCTCTTTTCAAAACGCCTTGTATTCTCATTACTTTTAAAAAGTATTATGTTACATTGCATACTTTAGGGTTTTATTTCGCTCTTTCCCCTTTTCCCTTGGAAATAATAAAGCGCGGTGGCGACTCTTGCTTTTGTGAGACGAATTAATTAATAGTTCGATCTCCGATTTACCCCGCTACATTTTTTATCGCTACAGTTACTGTGATACGGTGGGAGAACTGACTTGGGTTTTGCGTTTGTTTTCGCAAATGTTTCGGTTTAGCAAGAGTCGCCATCGAATTTTTATTTTATCCTAAAGGAAAGGTTAAAAAGCACAAGAAAAACCTTTGAGATGTTTTCTTGGGTTCGGGGAGTAGATTATAGAAAGGGAAGGTATTAGCACCCTTTCTATCCATGGTTATCCATGGGCTCTTAGTTACTTGCTTAGATCACTTGCATTTTCAATTGTTTGAAATGGTGCTTTGTGTGTGTTCGAAAAATGTTTTGAAAAAGATGCCTTGTCTAGGCGACCCTTGTAACAATTCTTTGTAATTGCAAGCTTCTCAAGTCATTTTTAAAGCATTTGTTTTGATGAAGACAACATGGACATCAACATTCAAAGGATGTGCAAAAAGCTTATCAACATCATATAAAAGTCTTGAAGATTATTGAAGAATTATTGAAGAATCATCAAATGTCAATATGGTATAAATAATTCTTAATCTTGAATATAGATGTTCACAAAAATATGCATTCATCAACATATACATATCCCATAACTTGAACATCAAGAAAAACTTTGTTTGAAATATTTTTCAAAAAGAATTTTTGAAAATAACCCTTTAGGAACCGGTTCCTCCCTAACAGGGAACCAGCTTCCAGACTTTCTCAAAAAACATGTCCCTGGTTTTTATACCAGGAACCGGGTTGTACCAATAGGGGAACCGGTTCCTGCGTGATTTTTTTGAAATCTGACTTATAACGTTCACTAAGAATCGGGTTCTGTCAGTGTCGGAACCGGTTCCTAGCGAACCAGTGCAACTTTTCTTTTATTTTCTAAACATTTTTCAAGTGGTATCTTTTCATGAATGCATTGCAACTTTTCATATGAATTGGCATGAATGAAGAGGTTCTTATGACTTTATAAAATGCTGCAGATTTTCTTATTTCAAAAAAACAATGCTTCAATTTTCCAATTAACAATTATACTTCTTCAATAAACAATTTTTCATCATTCACATTTGAATTCATACTTTCATGTGTTCATAATTTTGTGAAACTTGCCATATACACTTTCATTAAATCATTACAAGTTTCATACATACATTGTGAATATTTATATACATTGTTTGAGAATTGTTTTTATCTTGAAGAAGAAGATCAATTGAAGATTGATAAAGCTCTCCATATACTTCAAATAAATCATTGTATTACTTAAAGAAATTATTCCCTTACTATCCAGGACTGTTGGAAGTAAGTGTTGTGATTTGAAGAGGATTGTTCTTCATTCACATTAGTGTTTGTTTGGTCTTAAATGTGTTAAGAACCTTTGATCACCCTATAGGTTAGATAGTAAGCATAGGCTGTACAATCATTCTAACTATAGTGAAATCTCTTTCGTGTTGGAAAGGGGACTGGAGTACTCTCGGATTATGAGGGGAACCAGGATATATCACCGTGTTCTTTACTTTTCCGCATTTATCGCTTTCATCACCATAATCAGGAAAAGATAAAGATATAATCAAAACCTTCAAACACTTAACCAAAAAATTACTACCAAGCATTCTCATAAAACCGAATAAATTTTTATAAGACCTAATTCACCCCCCCTCTTAGGCACTCTGAGACTTACAATTGGCATCAGAGCAAGTTATAGGTAACTTGTTCCTAAAGATCCAGAATAGCTTCCGCAAATCATCAACCAGTTTTCAGAGATGGTGGTAGTAACAACAAGCCTCCTCTATTCTGTGGTGAATATTTTGACTTCTGGAAAATACGCATGAAGGCGCATTTAGAAGCGCAAGGAGAGGAAGCATGAGATGCTGTTGAAAATGGTCCATTTATCCCGATATCAATAATCAATGGCATTGGTTCTGCAAAGCCCAAGACTGCATGGGACGATGATGATAAAAAGAAAGTTCTCTATGACAAAAAGGCAATAAACCTTCTTCAAGGTGCACTCAGTATGGATGAATTTTTCCGTGTCTCGAACTGCAAAACAACAAAAGAAATATGGGATACCCTGGTTCAAACTCATGAAGGAACGGCTGAAGTAAAAAGATCAAGGCTAAATACCTTGAGTCAAGAATATGAACTATTTCGAATGCAGCCCGGAGAATCCATTCTTGACTTACAAAAGAGATTTGTGTATTTGACAAATCACTTAAATGCTCTTGGTAAAACCTTGACAAATGATGAACTCAACTTGAAAATCCTTAGATCATTGACTAGGGAATGGCAACCAAAGGTAACGGCAATCTCGAAAAAGAAGAGTCTCTCCGCAATGACTTCCGCTACATTATTTGGCAAACTTCAAGAATACGAAACGGAACTCGGTAGACTTGAAAAACATGAAAATTTAGAGAAGAAAACCAAAGGCATTGCTTTGAAAGTTGATTCAAAAGAAAGTCAAGATAAAGATGCATCGGAGGAAGATGAAAACTTCTTGCTTCTTGTAAAAAGGTTAGGAAAATATTTTGGTCATAAAAATAATCTTCATAATGCTAACTTTGTCAAAAGGAAGAAATTTTATAATCATAAAGATAAAGAAGCCTCCACATCAACACAAGATGTCACATGTTATGAATATGGAAAGCAATGTCACATAAAGCCGGATTGTCCAAAACTCTCCAAGAAAAATGGATTCAAAGGTAAAAATGAGTTCAAGAACAAAAAGGCTTATGTTGCATGGGAAGATAATGATATAAGTTCTTCATCCGATTCGGAAAGCGACGAATGTGCAAATCTAGCATTAATGGCTTCACATCACTCCGACGATGAAGAAGAGGTTAGTAATGAATTTAATCTTTTTGATGATGATGTTCAAGATGCTATTGATGAACTCTTGAAAGAATGCAAAAGTTTATACAAAAAGGTGTCAAATCAAGAAAAAGAACTTCTAATTTGTTTAGAAAAAATTGACACCATGACTAAAGATTTTGATCTTCAAAAACAGAATTTTATTAAAGAAAAAGAAAACTTTGCATGCTCCAAGTGTGAATCAAATGTCTTTCAAATTGTTCAATTGAAAAGAGTCATTGAACGATATGAAAAAGGACAAATAGGATTGGAAGGATTACTAAGACAACAACGTTATCCGAATGATAAAAGGGGTCTTGGTTATGTGAATTCTAAGAAACCAAGTAACAATCTCACTGTTTTTGTAAAGGCTAGTAATAGTTCCAATCCCAAGAAAGTAGAAAAGAAGCAAGTTGTTCATAATCATC